GGCTGTGGGCCAGGTTTCCAGTTGGGGACATACAAGAGACAACTGCACATTGATGTTTCTCTCCCACTTTCTCTAAAAATAAATAAATAAACTATTTTTTAAAATCAAAGGCAGAAGCCATTGTTCCTTTTCTGAAACCTCTGTCCACAGAATTAGCAGGAAGTTGACATATCTGAATCTCCATCAAACTGGCTCATACTGTTCACCCAACCAGGTGATTCCATGAGACCACACCCCACCCAATTTGCATGCCCACCCAAGGTATTTCCAGTGGCTTTTCCATACAACTGGCCTCTCCTGACTCATGCTTCAGACTTTCTTAAAATCTCTCAAACAAGAAGCACCTGGCCTCTGTGTACCCCATACCCCTTTCTAAGTGGCCCCACACCCAGCACTAGTGGCAGACAGCCTTTGTTCACAGCCTGGCTGCTCCTGGGCACCTCTAAGCCCAGCACAAGTAGCAGCCATCTTCAGATTTTCTATAGCTTGTGCTTGGTGGCCCCAGGTATCATGGGGTGCTAGTAGAAGAAAAGAGATAGCCAGAAATTGAAAACCTATTTGAAAAAATAAGGACAGAAAAATTCCCTAACCTTGTGAAGCAAACAGACATACAAGTCCAGGAAGCACAGAGAGGACCAAATAAAATGTACCCAAAGAGGTGCACATCAAGACAAATCACAATTAAAATGCAAAAGGTTAAAGATAAAGAGAGAATCTTAAAAGCACCAAGAAAAAAGAAGTTACCTACAAGGGAGCTGATTACTCAACAGAAACTTTGCAAGCCAGAAGGGAATGGCAAGAACTATTTGAAGTGATGAATAGCCAGGACCTACAACTAAGATTATTCTTCCCAGCAAAACTATCATTTAGAATTGAAGGACACATTAAGAGCTTCCCCAAAAGAAAAAGCTAAAGTTCATCACCACCAAATCAGTATTACATGAAATGTTAAAGGGTCTTAAAAAGAAAAAAAGATAAAAAATGGCAAAAAATTCATAGCTATCAACGACTGAATTTAAGAAACAAAATAAACAAAGAAGCAGAACAGAAACAGAATCACAGATACAGAGAATATTTTGACAGTTGCCAGAAGGGAGGGGTGTTGGGGGGATTGGTAAAAAAGGTGAAGGGACTAAGAGGTACAAATCAATTCTTATAGAATAGTTAGTCATGGGGATGTAAAATACAGCATAAGGAATACAGTCAATAATATTGTAATAGCTATGTATGGTGTCAGATGGGTATGAGATTTTTCAGGATGATCACTTAGTAAGTTATATAATGTCTAATCATTGGGTTGCACACCTAAAATTAATATAATATTGAATGTCAGGTATAATTTAAAAATAAAAAATGATTGAATAAAAAGGATTATATACCATGACCAAGTGTTATTTGTTCTGGAATGCAAAGGTGTTTCAACATATGAAACTGAATCAGTTGTAATACACCACATTAACAGAATGAAGAACAAAAAAAACACACAATCATCTCAATTGATGCAGAAAAAGCGCTTGACAAAATTCAACATCCTCTCGTGATTCTCATGATAAAATAAAATTTTCTCACTCAATAAAATAGGAACAGAAGGACATTACCTCCACGTAATAAAAAGCCATATATGAAAAAATACAGGGAACATCATACTTAATTGTGAAAGACTGAAAGCTTTTCCTTTAAGACCAGGAAGAAGGTAAGGGTGCCCACTTTGGCCATTTCTATTCAGCCCAGTAGGGAAAGTTGTGGCCAGAGCCATTAGGCAAGAAAAATAAATAAAAGGCTTTCACAATGGAAAGGGAGAAGTAAAATGATCTCTATTAGTAGATTATATGATCTAATGAAAACCTAAAGATTCCATTAAAAAAACTGTTATAACTAGTAAATGAAGACAACAAAAAACCAGGATACAAAATGAACATGCAAAAATCAGTTCCATTTCTATACACTAACAATGAACAATGAAAAATTCTGGAAAATATGAAAACAATACCATTTATAACAGCATCAAAAAGAACAAAACACTTAGGAACTAACTTAAACAAGTAGGTGAAAAGATATACAACAGAAATTATAAAACATTGGTAAAAGAAATTAAAGAAGGTATAAATAAATAGAAATATATTCCACATTCGAGGATTAGAAGACTTAATAGTATTAAGGTGTTAATACTGCCCCGATTGGTACAGGTCAGTTGGTTGGGTGTTGTCCCGCAAAGCGAAAGGTTGCTGGTTCAATTTCTGGTTAGGGCACATGCCTGGGTTGTGGGTTCGGTCCCTAGTTGGGGCACTTGCAAAAGGCAACTAATCAATGTGTCTCTCTCCATTCAATGTCTCTCTCCCTCTTTTTCTCCCTCCCTTCCCCACTTTCTAAAAATAAATAAATAAAATCTCCAAAAACATATGTTAATACTACCCAGAGTGATCTATACAGTCAATATAATCTCTATCAAAATGCCAATGACATTTTTTGAAGATAAAGAAAAACCCATTTTTAAATGCATACAGAATCTCCAGGGACCTCAAATAGACAAAAGAATCTTGAAAAGAACAAAGCTAGAATACTCAAACTTCCTGATTTCAAAAATCTACTACAAAGTTACATCAATGAAAATAGTCTGGTACTGGCATAAAGACAGACATATAGACCAATGGAATAGAATACAGAAACCAGAAGGAAACCTTTAAATATACTGTCAAATGACTTTTAAAAAATGTTTATTTATTTTTAGAGAGAGGGGAAGGGAGGTAGGAGAGAGAGAGAGAGAAACATCAACCCATCTATTGCCTCTCGAAAGGGTGACCAAGGATTGGCCCACAACCCAGGCATGTGCCCTGACCAGTGATTGAACCAGCAACCTTTTGCATTGCAGAAGGATGCCCAGCCAACTGAGCCATACTGGTCAGGGCTGTCAAATGACTTTTAACAAAGATACCAAGATCATTCAATGGAGAAAAGACAGGTTTTTCAAGAAATAGTATTGGAAAAACTAAATAGGCATATACGAAAAAAATAAAGTTGGGCCTTTACCTAACACCATACATAAAAATTAATTTAATATGAATCAAAGACCTAAAAGTATAAATCTCTTAGAAGAATATAGGGGAAAAGCTTAATGGCATTAGATTTAGCAATGATAAGAAAAGGATAAGCAATAAAAGAAAAAGAAGACACAGTATTTCATGAAAATTAAAAAAAATTGTCCTTCAAGCCCTGGCTGGTGTAGCTCAGTGGATTGAGCACAGGCCTGCAAACCAGACAATCGCGGTTCGATTCCCAGTCAGGGCACATGCCGGGGTTGCAGGCCGGTTCCCTGCAGGCCACTTCCCAGCAGGGGATGCACGAGAGGCAACCATACATTGATGTTTCTCTCCCTCTCTCCTTCCCTTCCCCTCTAAAGATAAATAAATAAAATCTTTAAAAAATTTTGTCCTTCAAAAGACAGTTATCAACAGAGCAAAAAGGCAACCTGCAGAATACAAAGAGTATTCGCAAAATCATATATCTGATAAGGGATTAATATCCATAGTATATAGAGAACTTTAAAATTCAACAAAGAAAACCAAACAACCCAATTAAAAATGTGCAAAGGACTTGAATAGACATTCTTAAGCAAAACTCACCCTGAAAACCCATGGACATAGACAACAGTATAGTGATGACCAGAGAAAAAGGTAGGTTTGGGTTGGTTGGAAGGAAAAGGGCAGATGAATGGTGATAGGAGATTTTACTTTGGGTGGTGAACACAAAATGCAATACACAAATGATGTATTATAGAATTCTACACTTGAAATCTATATACTTTTATTAACCAATGTCATCCCAATGAATTCAATAAAAATTTAAAAAACAACAATGAAAACGAAACAAAGTATGTTCATCAGACTGGAAAAAGAGAGAAGATATACAAATGGTCAACAATCACATGAAAAGATGTTCAACATCATTATTTAGAAAATGCAAATCAAAATGATAATGAGATACCACCTGGTACCCCTTAGGAATGCTACTATCAAAAAAGAAAAAAAAAACAGAAAATAACAAGAGTTAGCAAGAATGTGGAGAAAGTGGAAAGTTTGTTCATTGTTGGTGGGAATATAAAATGGTACATCCACAGTAGAAAACAGTATGGTAGTTCCTCAAAAAATTGAAAATAGAAAAACCATATATCAACCAATTCCACTTCTGGTTATATACCCAAAAGAAGTAAAGGCAGAATCTCAAAGAGATTTGTACACCCATATTCAGGGAAGCATTATTCATGATGGCTAATACGTAGAAGCAACCCAAGTATACATTTATGAAAAACAGATAAAAGACATAGTATATATATATATATATATATATATATATATATATATATATACATACATACAATGGAATATTCTTCCATTTTTAAAAGAATAGAAATTCTGACATATGCTACAACAATGGATGAAACTTGAGGACATTATGCTAAGTAAATGAGACAGTCACAAAAAGACAAATAATGTATGATTCCATTTATATGTATGATTCCATTTATACAAGACACACAGAATAGTCAAATTCATAGAAAGCTGAATGGTGGTTCAGTGGTTGAGGGGGAGGTGGAAATAGGCAGTTGTTTTAAATGGGTGTAAAGCTTCAGTTTTACAAGATGACAATAGCTGTGGACATGGGTGGCAGTGATGGTTTCACAGCATTATGAATATATTCATTACCACTGAAGTGTATATGCAAAAATAGTTAAGTTAATCTAAGACTATGTGTATTTCACCCAAAAAAAATGAAAAGAGAAATACAGACTTCTTCAGCAGGGTCATTAGCTTAAGGAGTTTTGAATCATGAGTGATGTAAAGTGCTTTGTGACTGGCTATTCAGAGAGATGTTTCCTCCTCCTACTCTTTATCATGAGGATCCATTTTCATGCAGCATTCAGTGTTTCCAACCAAACACAACCCTGGAGAGCTCCTGAGCTCCAAAAAAAGAAATCAAGGAAAGGAAATAAAACCCTTGCCTACCAGGGTCCAGAAAGGGCTGGCCTTCCCCAGCAGCGCCATAGCTCAGTTCTTGCAACCCTGCCTGTGGGATCCATGCCTCTGCCACTGGGGCCTCAGGGACAGGTCCCATTGCTTGGAGTGGGGGTACCTCCACATGGATGTTTGGTGGTATGTCTGTCATTCCAACTGCTGCCAGGTCTTCCAAGAGCATTTCCTGCCTATCGATCTGGGGAAAATGCCAGAACCAATCACTCCAAATTCCAGACTAGCAGTGCCCAGTAGCAATACAATGCAAGCCACCTAAGTCACTTAAAATTTTCCAGTGGTTATATGAAAAGTAACAGAAATAGGTAAAGTCAATCTTAATAATATGCATTATTTACCCAATATCATATTCTGCCATATATAATGCATACCTACAATTTTTGTGTACACTATACATGGGATTATTATACCCATGGTAGGTAATCATTATACTTACATATAATGCACATCCTTATTGATCCCTCAAAAATTTGGGCAAAAAAGTGCACATTATATACAACAAAACATAGTATATAAAAATATAATTTCATAATATAACCAATATAAAGAATTATTAATACGATATTTCACCTGCTTTGTTGTTCAGCCTACATCTTCTGAATGTGGTGTGCATTTTATACTTATAGCATATCCCAATTTGGTCTAGCCACATTGCTAGTGCTCAAATGCCACCCTTGGCTGGTGCCTACCATGCCGGCAATGCAGGATTATACCACATGAAGACAACATCTCATGTAGTAAGCCAAACAAGGAGACACAAAGGAAGGGAAATCATAAACACATTCCATCCTACAGGCAGCACACTTTGGAAGAGTCCTGCTCATGCAGGCTAACTGCAGAGTCCCATCAACACACAAGACTCCAGTGCCCCTAATGCCCAACTAGAACTACTTTCTCCCTTCTCCAGAGATGCTGCCCTGTGCTTAGCTATCACATGCCTCAAACAGGCTTAGCTTAGTGCTTTTGAACAGAGGGCAGGGCCACCACCCCCAGGAAGAATTTTGGATATGATGGCAGGTGCTGGCTATCAGAATTTAGTGGGCAGAGATGGGAATATAGACAATGAACAGTGCAGAAGTTCTCCGGGTCTCTACCAAATTTGGAGTGTCCCCCTGAAGTACTCACATAGGTAAAAGAATCTGTTAAGAGCCTCACCTTGTTGGTCACATAATCACAAAATATTTTTGCAAATTTTAGCTTGACTTGACTCAAGTCCAGACATGTGTATGCTGAAATGCTTATTAATTTACAATACACTATATTCCTTTTCTTTTATATTACTTCTAACCCTACTTGACTGACAGATGGCAGTCCATTTTGGAAATAGCCAGAGAGTAAGTATTTTAGGCTTTCTGTGTTAGTCTGTTGCCTATTCTTTTTTTAAACAGCACTTTAAAAAGGTAATAACCATTATTAGGTCATGGGCCATATAAAAATAGGCTTTGATCTGCTTTTGATCCACAGACCATACAGTACTTATTATATTGATGGTTTTGATTTTGTGTATATAAGCAGATTATACTCTCAAAAACTTTCATCTTAAGATAACAAAGGGGACATTACCAAATATTTGAGGAGTTGAATTTAATAATTGACAATCACCAACCCATATGCTGATTCCAACAAAATGGAAATAGGAAAATCACTGCAGGGAAATCTTGGGACAAAAACACAAAATGTCTAATCTGCTACCGGTTGTGTCTGCCACTCCTTTTGGTTAATTACCCAGATCCCAAACTCTTTTCTCACCTGTGGCTCTGGTATCTCAAGTTCTCTTTGTAAGTCTTCTATCAGTGACACAACTCTTTCTCTATTCTCTGGGCAATGTTCCCTCACCCAGGTCTCTATCTCTGTAGGCAGAATTGTTAGGAATTGCTCCAACACTAGAAGCTCCAAGATTTGTTCTTTAGAACGCATCTTTGGCTTCAGCCATTGACAGCAAAGCTCCCAGAGTTTGTTGAAAGCTTCATGAGGCCCAGCGGCTTCTTTGTACTGGAACTGCCTGAAGCGCTGACGGAACACTTCAGAGTCAGTATCATACTCTTGAAACACTGAGCCCTGATTTAAGGAGGCCTGGATTGCACAACCCAGGGCAACAGCCATTGCCCACTTCCAGCAGTGTCCAATTTATCTGGGCCTGAAGTTTCAGACTCCAATTTGTTGTTGTTTTATATTTCTTGGGTGGAGTACCTACAGCTGAGGACAGGGCAAATGAGAAAGGAGAAACAGAAGTGGTTACCAGAGGGTATCCTTATCTCCCTTAATTGCTTACTTTTCACCAAAGCCCTAAAGCAGTAGATTGTAATCTTTTCAGTGGTTTTGAGAATCTGATGAAAGCCATGGACTCACTTCCTAAAAAAATACACATATAAATCCAGTTTCTAAAAGCTCACAAAGTCTTCAAGACCATTCATGGACCCTCTAGAACTATTCTGTCCAGTATGGTAGTCAACAGTTCCATGGGGCAGTTTAACTTTAAATTATTTAAATATAAAAATTTAGTTTCTTATTCATACATTCATATTTCAAGTGCTTAGTAGACATTATTGCAGGAAACTCTATCAGACAGCTCTGTTCCTGAATTCCTTGGACCCAAGGCTAAGAATCCTTTCCCTTAAATTAACTCCTATAGCTCTGAAGGCCTGTATCCCACTCCCAGTCTAATAACAATATTCTTGTGTTTCTGAACATAGGTGAGCCACAGAGGAATACTGGGGAGCAATACTTACAATACTGGTGAACAACCCTTATAGTTCATCTAGCTCTGAGTAACCCTCAGTCACCTTCAATCACCAGCATCTTAGTGAGAGCCATGCCCTGCAAAGGCAAAAACTCAACAATCCCCCATTCTTCTCCAAACCAGGTTTGTGTAGTTCAACCAACATCACCGTGATACTCATCCTGCAGTGGCAGTCCAAGTGGCTTTCTCATGACAAAAACACACTGCACAGGGCAGGCCATCAGGAATCCCACCTGCATTTAGCCAGGTGCTGTTACAGGCCTCCTACATATATTAGTTCATTTGGCCCTCACCCAATCAGTGTTGGGGGGGGTACTAGTATTATGCCCTAACTACAGATGAGGGCACTGAGGCTTGAGGCTTAGGACAGAATAATAGGTCCCACGACCCATAGCAAATGTCAGAGGGAAATGGTGATGAGGTTAGGAACCACAGACTCCTGCTATGCTCATGCCTAAAAACATCCAAATGTTCTTAGTTCAGTCTCGGAGGTCACGTAGGCAGGCACATTCATATCTCCACAGTTGTGAAGACCTGTATCTGCCTGTGTGCTATGGGTCCTCTCTCTCTGCATTTACCCGCACAGCTCACCTACCTAAGTCTTCTTTCCTGGACCAGACCAAGAAATAAAATACTCACGACTCTTTTCCTGCCCAGTCATCAAGAAACGACACTCTGTTCCCACTTCACCCTGGGCTAGTTCCCTAAAGGGCACCCATTGCCTCTCTCTGTAACATCCTCTTCATAAAATTGCCTCTGGCAGACCCAAATGCATGGAAAGCGAACGGCCGTGTGTCTGGCACAGAGACAGCTCTGCTACAAGAACTCATTCCTAAAAAGCGTCCACTCCCCCGGTCTAGGCACGTGAGGGTCGTTAGGGGAATCCAGGAATCCGCCAGTTTAGGCCAGGGTCCCACCTCCCATGTCCTCCAGCCTCACAGTTGGGCGGCTCTCCCCTGACTGACCCAAACCTTACCTCAGGTCTCCCACGGAATTGATCCTCCGGGATCCCCTCCACTGGCTTTTCGGGATGAAAACTTCACTTCTCCTCAGGGGTAATGGCTTCTCCCCAGACCCTCCCGAATGAGCGCGCCCTCACAGGGCCCGTGGATAAAGAGGCGTTCGGAAAGAGGCAACTGGCTTCGTGAAAAGAGGGCACGAGGGAAAAGGTGTCCCTAGGGATAAGTCTCTAAATGTCTAAAGGCCGTTTTAAAGTCGGATACCGGTGGCAAGGGCGCGGCCCTAATTCTTTCGCGGGGAAGATGCCTCGCTTCCTGAAGGGGCGACGCCAGCCCCGAAGGACCCCCTGGGAAGGCCTGGCCAGGTATAAAGGAGCTGTGGCGGGGACTGGAGCAGGACAGGGGCCCACGGCTCGGTCAGGCCTGCGGGCAGTCAGTTCTCGTAGCCTAAACGAGTGATGGGAGCCCCACTCCCCGAGCCCCAGGGACTGCCACGCCCTCCGGACGCCCAGGGACTCACCGCCTGGCTGCCCACAGCTCTTCCAGCTCACTGGGTGCAGTGCCTAGTGCGCAGGAGCGGGGCCACGCAGCCGACTACAACTCCCGGCATGCCTCAGTCCCCCCCCCCCTCCTGGGGTCGGGTGGAAGGTTGCAGACTTGAGAGGGTTTGGGACTTTTCTTTAGAAGGGATTTTATTTCCGGCCACAGAGGCTTCTAAATCCCAGAGGACTGCACAGGGCCTGTCATATTCTTGATCTTTGCCAGGACTTCTCTCCCGTAGGCCCTAGAGTACCCGGAGCAGTTTAGGATGTAAAAAAATAAATTTTAAACTGTAATGAAGAATGAAAGACTCTTATTTGCCCAAAAAAGGAACTGCAGCCCAGCATACACAGATATAAGTAGCAACTTAAATTTTGTTCCACTGAGACCAAGGGGAGGCTGTCCTTTATGGTGAAAATTCTTGCTCAGTTTCTCAGTTATGTCTGCTTTATGTAAATGAAGTACCCAAACTTGCAGTTCTGATTGAACAGGGCAGGTTTCAGTCCAATGATGGAAAGAGGAAGCCAGGGTGTTTCCCTGTAGTGCTTGATTCAGATGGCATAAATAAACCCGGCATAGCACGGGAAGCAGATTCAGCCTGAACTACCCTGGGGAAGCTCCTGTCTGCAAATGGCTGCTAAGCTCTTATTATTTATAAAATTGGGGCCCTGAGTTGATCCAAATGGGGAGTCTATCTCAGCAGATAAATTCTTTCTTGGGGTCCACACTGACCTTTAAATCTGCTATGATGTTGCCAGTGATTCTCAAAGCTCTTTATGTAGGAAGGATTTCTAGGGAGAGCATGTTTAAAAATCATATTTCTGGTCCTCCATCCCAACACTCTGAGGCACCAGGGTCTCCCAATAGCTCTAGCATTTGCATTTTAATAAGCTTTCTCTGTGAGTCTGGTCTTTGGCTCACAGGTCATAATGGCCTTAAGCTGCATTTGTATTTTCTTTTCTTAAAGACCTGAGCTTCCACTTGTGTACTGAACATATTTTTCTCATCCTTCATCCACCATCAGAAGGGTCTCAGGTCTGGGGGTTTGTCTGATACCCCACCCCTATTGTTTTCCAATTGGTCCCTCAATGGTCCTGCTCCTGGAGTAAGATTTTCCCATCTGGGTAATCAGTGGAGACTTGTAGGGCAGCTAGATGCTATGTTGTCATTTGGTAAAGTTGTCATCACTTTAGTTTGGAGGTAGTACTGTTGGTTTTTGGACACCAAAATTTAGTGCTCATAATTCCTATCCTTTTGTGCGGGATCTAGTCCTGCATGGGTTCAAGACAGAGAGAAGAGAGCTGCCTGCCATTGTATCTTCCTCAGGCCCTCATGGAAGCAACTCAGTGGGGCAGGTGCACCACCTTCCTGAAACCACAGAAGCCAAGATATTGGAGACAGCTCTGTCACAGGTGGGCAAAGGTAATCAGGTTCTTGGTGATCATGGACAAAGAATTGAACTGAACACACAGAGTTTATAGCAAAAAGAAAGAGAGCAGATTTATTAAGCGATAGTACACTCCACAGAACATGGGAGCAGGCCAGCTCTGAGCAGAGACTGACTTCAGGGGCTGGAGGGATTCTATTCTTATAGGGCAGATCTTGCCTGACTAGTTTCGCCAGGCTTTTATTGTACATGTACAAGTAGTTGTATTACTTTAAATCTATTGCACATGTGGTCTCCCATGATTTTCCTTGATTTGCCACTGGAAAAGGGGGCTGAACAATGTTAATTTGTTATAATGCCATTCTAATGAAGCAGGGATCATGTAGCACCTTCTGCACAGGTGCATTCATGAGTTACCATGATTCAGCACTTTTCCAGAAAGCGGGACCAACGGGTCTTAGAACAAGGTCTCTGTCCTGCATTGCTGTCCTTCATCTTAGCCCTGGGACACCTCCGAGTTTCCTCCTTCCTGACTGTCTTGTGCCTCTGCTCTGCTGGGGCTCGAGTTTTGTTTATGGGGTGGGACATGGAGCCTCCAGCATGCTGACTCCTGCACGTGCTGTTTATTGTTGCAAGAAGTGCTGGGGCACCTCCGCCAGCAGTCACGGTTGGTTTCAAAGCTAAAGTAATCCAGGAGTCTGATGATGGCATGTGGCCCAGGCTCCTAGGAGCAAAAAGGGCTCTTGATTGTGAAACTGAAGACATCCCTGTACCTGGAGTCAGGAGCTGTCCTTGCTTGACCAAAGGCCCAGTGTGGAGGTCTCACACCTGAACTTCTGTGAATTCTGCCACTAGCCCTTGCAGAAACCTTTTGGTGGCTCCTGGAGCTTCACCATGAGTAGGTGGCTTTGGCCCAAGATGCACTCCATGAAGCAGATCCCGGAGCTGCTGGTGTTGGAGCAGTTCCTTACCACCCTGTACCAGGAAGTCCACAGCAGTGTGCAGAGCTGCCCAGAAGCTGTGACTCTCAGAGTACAGGCAGTGAGAGTTTGTGAGACTGAGGGAAGAGGGGAGTGAGAGAGAGAGGTTTCACCTGTGGGTGATTGGCTCCAAAGATGGCAACATCACAGAGTCTTACTTCCCCACTTGGATTGTCTTGATTGGCCTCAGTAGACCTTACCTGGCCAAGTGACCTTTTGTAGTTTAGCCTGAAACTTCCATCCCCCAGATTTCCCACCAAAAGCACAAAGTGAATAGTGAAGGGTGACTGTTTTCACAGAGAGGCAGTGTGGCTATTGTAACAGTTAGTGTTGGCTGTGGACTTAGATTAAAGGGGTTCAAATCCTGCCTCTGCTGGCTGGCTACTAGCTGTGTGACTTTTGGCAAGTTACTCTTCTTCCTTGGGCCTCAATTTTTCCCCTGGCAAAATGGTTTCTGGGATTGTTTTGAAGATTAAAGGGACAATAGCATGTATGTTTTGATCACACTGCTGGCACCTAGTTAGTGCTTAAAACTGTTTAGGTGTTGTTATATTAGGGTTAGCAGTCTGGTCTTCTTTGAAGAGCTAGGTCTTGTTTAATGAACTTAGAAAATGGTTTTTCACTGAAGCTTTGAGGCAGTGCCCCCAGAACCACCCAAGTTAGTTTATTTAGAAATGAGGAATGGGAGTATCTGGGAAAGGTGGAGACTAAAAGGGTAAGTAAAGTACATCAGAAGATCTACAGGGTAAGTTGTGCACTGGCAAGGACCCTCTCTCCACACCTTCCATAAATAATCACATACACACATTTTTGCTCATGGACATGTCATCAAAAACTCTTTCTAGTTTAAATCATCCTTTTATCTCATTGGGTCCAAAGAAATTGATTATTTTCCTTTTCAAGGTTTACTTTCAGATTTCTGTAATAATATTTCCCTTTCAGGGATCACAATAGTGGTCCCTATTGTGATTATGAGTGATGGCAAGTTGGCCTCAGGTTACAAATAATGGGCTGGGAACAGAAGTGCTTTTGGACAAATCTTTGCCTCAGGAAACTGCATGAAAATTACTGAGCTTCAAGCTGGAGCTCAGGGACACTTAGGGACCCTGAAGTCTAGAGTAGTCACTACTTCTTGCTCAATAGGTCCAATCAGCTTCTTATCATCAATGTAATAGAATTTTGTGATGTGTTGTGGAAGGAAAAATTGATCAAGATCTCCACAAACTACACTATGACATAGGGCTGGAAATTCAATATATCCCTGAGATAGGAGAATAAAGATGTATTGCTGCCCTTGCCAGCTGAAAGCAAACTGCTTCTGGTGGTTATAATAACACTTATTGAGAAAAAAGTATTATATTTACCAGATCAATAGCTGCATAACAGGTGCCAGGGGCTATATTAATTTGCTCAAGTAATGAAAGCATATGTAGAATAGTAGCTGCAATTAGAATCACTATCTGGTTAAGTTTATAATAAACTACTGTCACCCTCCAAAATCCATCTGGTTTTCTACACAGGCTAAATAGGCAAATTGAATGAGGATGTAGTGGGAATCATAATCTCTGCATGTTCCAGGTTCTAGATAGCATCACTAGTCTCTGAAATTCCTCCAGGAGTGTGGTGTTGCTTTTGGTTTACTGTTTTCTTAGGTAGAGGAAGTTATAGTGGCTTTCACTTGGCCCTTCTCACCTTAATATCTCTTACTCCAAAGATCAGAGAACCAGTCTAGGGATTCTGACAGTTAATGAGCATATCTATTCCAATTATACATTCTGGAACTGGGGAAATAATCATTGGATGAGTTTGGATACTTAATAGACCCACTGTGAGATGGAGCTGATCTACAACTCCATGGATCACCTGACCTACATAAACACCCACTCTGTTGGGTGGACCACAGTAATATTTTGGGTCTCTTGGAATTAGTATCAATTCAGAAGCAATGTCGAATACTCCCTGAAAAGTCAGATTATTTCCTTTTTCCTTGTGCACAACCAGCCATAGTACCTTTGGGGAAGCTTGGCAGAAATATTAACAATATACATGTATGTTTTTTGCAGTATAGAGGGAGTCCTTTTTTAGGTGACCTGGTCTACCCTTCATTCAAGAGGTTCTAAGTCTGTAAACTGACTCAAGTGTTGGAATTGATTGGGGACTATTAATTTCTGTTTGGATTCAAATTAGACTTCAGTGGATTTGACCTAGAACTATTTGCTTATACAGCACAAATAAGAATTTGATAGACTTCCCATCTATTTCTTTTTAAGGGACACCATGATCAACTAGCCAACACCATAATTCTCTGTGACTCGGACTGTTCTAATCACTTCTTTGACTCTGCTGTCTATTACTGTAACTATGCCCACCTTTTCTTTTGTCTGTTGAGTACTCTTACTTGGCCTCTGGCACCCTGGCATCCAGTCATCTCCATTCCATTTAAGGATACTGGTTCAGTGGCAGTAGTTATCACTGTAAATTCTGACCTATAGAGAAGAGTGAGCACAGAACTCTTCAAAGTTGTTGGGGTTCCCCTCACAAATGTATTTCTCACAGTTATGAAAGATATGTTCTCTTGGGGTGGGTGAACAGGTCTTCCATGATA